CATGCCAAGCCTTTTGAAGGTCCCGGGTATGCAAGTCGCCAGCCTATGCCAAAGCCTTTCCCATAATGACAGATTCCGTCTTGGGCACAGTGATCATCAAATGACAGATTTTAAATTCTTGGAGAAGGAAGGAGGGGGCCAGCAGAACTGCCTTGGATTTCCAGAGAGATTGGCCCCCATCCTGAAGTGCAAAGGAGTCCAGAAAGGCAGAACATTCTCCAAGGGGGAAATCTTAGATGCAGGAGCAAGCTGTCCCATGTGGGAAAATGTGGCGAGGAAGAGTGGCCTGGCTGAACAGAGAATGTGGACAGGAACTCAGTGAGAAAAGATTTTGACCTTTGGAAGAAAGGTCAGGAATCTCAGAAGAAGTACAAAGATAATGTGAGCTTATGGGGAATACAACTAGAGGGGTCAAAGCACAACCAGAATTTAATCTGACTACTGCCCTAAAAGACAATAAAAATGTTTCTATAAATGCATAACCAGCAAAAGAAGGCTAAGGATAATCTCCATTCTTTATTGGATGCAGGAGTAAACAGTGACAAAGGACAAGGAAAATATGAGGTTCTTCAAGTGGTTGACAACAAGTTATTCTCCAGCTACTCAGCCCTGTGAACTGGAAAACAGGAATGGGGAGCAGGATGAAGTCACCACAATCCAAAGGGAAATGCTCAGCGACCTGCTCTACCACTCAGACACATTCAGGTTGATGGGGCCAGGTGGGAGCTGGCAGAACTGCTCACTGAGCCCCTTTCCACCATTCACCAGCCGTCCTGGCTAACCAGGAGGGTTAGGGGAAATGCAACATCTGCCTACAGGACTGGAAGAAGGATCTGGGAACTGCAGGCCTGTCATCCAGACCTTGGTGCTGGGGAAATTCATGGAGCAGAACATCCTGATGGCACTCAGGACAACCAGGAGATCAGGACCACACAGCATGGGTTTGTGAAAGACCCTGAGCAACTGGGTCTCCCATCACAAGGTGACCCACTCAAGTGGATTAGGGAAAGTCTGTGGATGTTGTCCACCTGGATCTTAGTCAAGCCTTTGATGTTGTTTCCCACAGCATTCTCCTGGAGAGACTGGATTCCTATGGCCTGGATGGGTGCCCTCGTCTCTGGGTAAGAAAGTGGCTCAAGAGACGGCCCAGAGGGGGGCGAGGGTGCCGCGTCCAGCTGGTGACTGCTCACCTGTGCTGCTCCCTCGGGCTCGGCTCTGGAGCCAGTCCTGTTTAATGTCTTCATCAATGACCTGTAAAAGGGGATCAAATGCACCCTCAGTCAGATTGCAGACAAGTTGGGTGGAAGTGTTGATCTGCTGGAGGGCAGGAATGCTCTGCAGAGGGATTTGAACAGGCTGGACCCATGTGCCATATGGATATGAAGAATGTATAAAGACTACTTCCACACAGGTGAGCCTGAATTGGAAAAATTCAAATGAATGATTGTCTGTTAAAGCTCAGCAGAATCAGAAAAATAATTAAAACTTCAGCTTACTTTAGAGGAGGAATATGTGGTCATTGGGCTAGGAAACAAAGTATCTTAATTAACATGCCTAACAACAAGTCATTGTAGCAATGTTTTATTTTGAAATCTGTATATTACCAAACCATACCTATCTAAAGTACTCTGACCTTAAGATCATGATATAATTTTTAAAAAACTGTTCTCAGAATCAAGATTGGAGAGGGAGATGCAAAGATTTTAATTGTTTTTCAAAGTTTTCATCTACAAAAATAGATGCCTTTCTGAGCATGACTGAATGAATGCTGGTGCCCTTCTCCCTTCTAATTAAACACTTCCCACTTCACTTCTGCTCTGCCAGCTCACACAAAAGTTTGGAAATCAACAAAGAAGCAAACAGCAAGAAAGTAAAGAGAAATGGAAAGACAGGAGAGGAGATAAACAGTGATGAAATATATGGGAATCAAAGGCACCAAAGATGCACCCAGTGTATACCAGGGTGACGTGAGACCCATCAATAAATACCAGTAGGGCCAATGGTGTTTTTCAGAGTGTATCTATAATGACAGGGTGGAAAAGTACCTTCTCCTACGTTTTCTTAGCATACTATTTCAGCAAGATCTGTATATGTTCAAAGCAACTTTATATTTCATAAGTTATCATACAGTATTTTCATGCCTTAGACATGGCTTGTAATACTTGGTACCCGCCATAAATTAGATATTGTCAAACACACAAATATCAGAAGTTCCCTTAGCTTCATAATGCTAAAAAAGAGAATATGTATTCTTAAATTTTTCCCTGTAGCTCTACTGCTGATCAGTGTCATGGAGAAGATACTGTTCTGACTCTCTGTGGACATCCTCCTGTGTAATAGATTGCTTGTACTTTAAAAGGAAAGAGAAAGATCACTGGGTTTTAAATGTTAGAAGCAAATATTTCCTAAGACATTTGCTGTGGGTATTGATTTAATTGTACATGAAATACAAATCCTTGCTGAAGATTAATTATTGAAGAACAGAAATTATGACTTGATTTGAATTCCAAAGTAGAGCTTGCACAGGTCAAATGTTCCATCAATTTTAGTTGTGATTTGTTTCAAGGATGGAATCTGATCAAAGCAGGTTGCAGGGTGGATGAGGGAGCTCAAAAACTTAAATGTTGTCTAATCTTTGAAAGGGTAAATGTAGATAAGACATCATCTAAAGGCTGTGCAGACAGACAGTAGAACTTTCAGATACATAGGTGCATAGCAATAATTAATTTATTTAGTTCATGACAGTTTTGATCTGAGTTAATATTAACTGACTCTTGATATTCCACATAAACTAAAATAGAAACCTGTTGACCACCTGATCTGCTTTTGTTTGCTGTATATTTAGAGCTCTCAGACACTGTTTCTGATTCATTCACATTAAAACAAGTTGAAGTAACAACATGGTTTATAGTTGGTTTGTTCTTAATACTTAAAAATCAAATAATTTCTGTGCAATTTAAATGTGACTACATTTCAGTAGAGCTTTGAGTTAATTCATCTATGCAAAATGGCATTGTAAATTTTAGCATCTGCCTGTGTCTATTTAAGCAACATAAATAATTTACTGAACTAAAATTTCTTCATGGTTCTCCACAACTATTGGTTAATAAAGGAAATTTAATTACTATGTCATTTTAATCATTATGGAAGAACTTTGTACTTTACAATTCATACATACTTTATTGCAAGTATATGTCAGAGCAAAGTCCAGCAGATTAAGCACAGTGTGAAATAAGGACTATGCAATTTTGCTGCATTTGAGATAGCACATTGGGTCTGATTTATTCGCCTGGACTTAAGTAGCAGGCAAAGTACAACTGTAGAGAGTGAGCTCATTTGTGTTCTTGGCCAGTCTTCACTTGAAAGAGGTAAGGTGTCTGCCCAGTGCTGTGTTCCTTGGGTGCTTTCTTAATAATTTTTAATATCAATTTTTATTCTGGAATTAAATTGATCTTTAAATCAATTTTCAATATTTATGCATAAAATATAAGTGAAGAAAAAAGACTGATATTCAAAAATACTAAAAGAAAACCAAAAAAGTTAAAAAAACCCTCCAGATCCAAGTTCAAATTTCATGACAATCAGGATTTGGGCTTGTGGGTTAGGGTTTGATTTAAAGTAATTTATAATTTAATACTTCATAATAGCAATAATAATCAAACCTTTCAGGGAAGATGATACATGACAGTAGAAAACACAAGTACAGCAGAATTTAAGTGCTTAAAGGGAAGGACTGTGCCAAATTTCATAGAATGTAATTTTCCAGTTTATTATGATCCCAATGTCAAATAAACAACTTTGCATAAAATGGCAAATTCTACTTTAATCTTAAATCATAGTTATTACTGAATAGTTTTAGGTGGAATAGGAAATTCTGGTTTGATGGCTTTGTGTATGGTAGGTAGAAAAATTAACTCTCAAACCAGAAATTTATTGCAATGATTTATTTTGGACATTTTTTAAAAAATACACTGAATTTTTTCACTCTGGAAAACTGTTTGCTGAATCTGCTGCTAAGTCATTAGATTTGTAAGGAATGTGACTTTGTTGCAACATAAGCCACTGTGGAGAAGGGTGCTGGCCTCTGCAGACTGTGCTGACACTGGCAGGAAATAAGCCCTGACCAAAGAGCTTTTTTGATAGATCTATTTTCTGCCTTCAGCAATGCCACTGTGGGGAGCCCAGTCCTTAAAAATAAATTTAAAAGAGCATTAAAAGAGTTTGATTTGAGTCTAAGTAAATATATCCTTTGAGAGCATAGGAAACATTTGTTTACCTGATTCGTTCTAAGCTGTTGTTGACAGAAACTCCTCTTCAGAAAATCTGGGATTTGCCTAAGTGAGGACCCCAGGATTTAGTCCAGTAATACCCTGAACCTTCTTCTGTACTGAATGAAGTATTAATGTACCCCAAAAGGTGGATAAAATGAGGCTCAAAGCATTTCAGTTCAGTATATTGAACTTGAGGGTTTTGAAGAGGCTAAAGAAAGTCCTTTTGCTTTGTCTACTGAACTTGTTTTAAAAAATCTGATTGAAACCTGTGACCTATTACTTCAAGCTGTAGATAGAAATTCACAAAATAGCATAGTTCAGGTTAAGTGAGTTCTCCAGTGCATGGAAACCTTTCCAGCACTAGGAAAGCCTACTGCCTGAGTACTGATTGAGCTACAGACAGTCAGCAGAGCTAATGTTACTGCTTCTGTCTCTTTCACCATTGATGTCTCTATTTCACTATAGTTTGGATTCAGGGAATAAGAAAAATTTAACTCTGATAATTAAAAGTTGTGCTTTTTCTTTAGTCATTACATTACTCTTGATGGCTTTTTGCCACACTCAAAATTGCATTATGTTTCATTGCCTAGCGTGGCACAAGGTGAGAGATGTCCTAAGTGATTCAGCACAGCACTCTGTCAGAGAAATGAATGATTTGCCAGAAACAAGACATCGGGAAAGGAGAGATCCTTAAAAAATGGGAGCAGCCAGCTTTGACAGAGGCTTTCTGTATTGAAGCTCAGTATTTCAAAAGCTTTCTCCTTCAGGACTTTTGCACTAGAAGCCATAACCATTGGCACGTTCAGCTCCAATCTGTGTTTCAGCTCTGCACTGCTGCAGGAGGAGTGCCGCAGAAGGAAGATGCCACTGAGGAGCTCAGCAGGATTGGTGCTGCTCCTGCTCTCTCAGTGCTCTGTGTCCCTGGGCTCCAGAGAGGCCCTGGGCCTGGCTAATGCCCACCTCCTCCCCCAGAGGGACCATGAGAGACTGGGAAACGCCCATCAGAAAGGTACTCATCAAGGCAGCCAGTGATTTGGAAGTGTTCTGTGCATTACTTTATTGCTTTGCTGCAACAGTTTCAACCAACATGTACCAAAGCTAGCCCTGGAAGAATAATTTGCAACATGAACATGTCCTGCCACAAAGCCCTGAACCCATCTGTAGAAGTTGTTCTATAATGATCACTGAGAAGGGAACTGTGAGGTTCACTGTGTGCATTGCTGGCTTGGACATCACCATATAAATTACTTAAATAATCCTTCTATAATATCATGGCATCATATTTGGAGTCAGGTAGGCTATGTCTACCAGGAAAATGTAATTTTTACTGAATTTTTCTCACAGAGATAATAAAATTGTCAAGATTTTATTAAATACAAATTACAAATATTTTACAGTCTAATGACATAAGGACATGCCTTTCAACTCTATGGAGAAGTGAGTGATTGCAATTCATAAACAAATTTCTGAGTAACAGAACAATGAATGCCATCCCTCTCTACAAAAGGAATTCTCTCTCTATAAGTTCATACATATGTAAATGTATATTTAAATAAATTTTGTTCTGGCTCTTAAGAAGCTTGAGAATCAATTGTAAAATTCAGAGCACTGCAGTCTCAGAGATGCTTGATATTATACTAGAGCAAGAAGTTACTTTATAAATATGTTACATTTAAAAAACAGCAGTAAATATTTTAGCCCAATAGAGAGGGTCAACCCAAGCCTTATATGCCATTTTTGTTACCCTCTGAGTCTACTGGATGAGCAATAAAATGGAAAAGCAGTTTCACCCATCTTCCTGATGCTGGTGTTCAGCACTGAACAGAACTGTAGTCCTGACTGCAAATCCATTATAAAATTTAGCCTGGCGTTTGAGTGAAAAAAACTCCTCCTATGAAAATCCTCAGATGTTTATAAGCTTTATGTTAACAAGAAATATGCTTTAATATCTCTCTATCAGTGAAAACATGGCATGCATTTCAGAATTTAACACAAGGATGTTAGAGATGCCCGAAGTATAAACTGGTTCAAGAGAAATTAATTTGTTCATTGAGGAAAAGACCAGGTCTAGCTACGAATTGTCCTACAGATGGCACAGGGAATTGCAGACTTGCTGAGTACTCAGTCTGGAAGAACACTGGTAGAAAAGGAATGTACACAGTTTTTGGCTTTTCAACCATATTTCTGTCAAAAATACAAAATCATACTTCTGTTGTATGACAGAGTAACAAACCATTTTATGAATTTCTGAATATGTCCTGCATGTTCCTCCCGGAAATCTTCCCCCTTTAGCTGAAAAAATGGCCATCAGCTGCAATGAAGTCAGTCAGTTTCCAGTCTAAAGAGAGTAATTCAGTCACTCTAAAGGACAGAGTTCAATTTCTGAAATTTACTATTTGAACAAAATTTACCTTAATTTTTTTGTGTGTTTGTTTTTTTTTTTTTTTTTTTTTTTTTTTTTTTTTTTTTTTTTATATTATCCTTGGGATTGTTTTGAGATTTTAAAGCACTCCAAAGGAAATTCCAGAGATGGCCTTTACATCATCCAACCAAAAGAAGAACCAATTGTTGTCTTTTGTAACATGCAGGATGGTGGCTGGACAGTAATCCAGCACATTACAGCCAACAGCACTGTTGACTTTGACAGGACTTGGCAGGACTACAAATATGGATTTGGCTCTGTTGATGAGAACCACTGGTTAGGAAATGAATACATGCATCAGTTAACTGGCAGCTCAGTGCAATACATACTTGGAGTTAAACTTGTGAATCTAAATGCTGAAGTCAAATGGGGACAGTATGAGCCATTCCTGATTGAGGGGGAGGAGTCTCAGTATCGCATCAGGGTTGGCCTTTACAAAGGCAACGCCACTGATGCTCTGACCCTGGACACAGAAGCTTATCTCCATGACAACCAGAAGTTCACCACCAAGGACAGAGACAATGACAATTACTTTATGAACTGTGCTAAGCTGGAGCTCAATGGCATTCCTGGGGGAGGCTGGTGGTACGATGCCTGTGCTGGGGCAAACCTGAACCGCAGGAACGCGATATACTGGCAAAGAGACTGCAGCAAGCAACAGCCCTGCAAGTTTGCATGGATGATGGTCAAACCCATCGAGCACCACCAGTCGTACCCTACCAAGGCCTGCCCCTGTCAGAAAGTTGAACTGTAGACAAGCCATGAGTATTTGACAGGATCATGGACTATTTCTCAAGTGACTGAAGTGAACTCACTGACTGAGTAATGGCCCTAAGTAACCACAGCTGGAAATTTAAATTGGGCCTCTCTAGGGGCTTTATGTTGACATATTGTCCAATACTGGAACATGTCACAGAAATTTGCCAACCACACAAGTGAGAAACTGTCAGAAACTGAGGCCTTTACCGCAAGATTTAAATAACCAGAAGATTTAAATAATTAATTTTATACTATTTTAGCCATAAGACAAGTCTGATATGAAATGCGGGATATGATGTCTTGTACAATATATACCTGAATAAAAATGCATTTCAGAAGGTTTTGCACTGGTGTCAATGTTCATGACTGATTGCACATCTATAATTGCACATCTTCATATATTGCGCAGGAAGGAAATTTCCAGTTAAAAAGCTACATTTACAAAAGGCACACTGAAGTGTATTGTGTACCATAGGACTCCAACAGGCCTTTTCTTTCTAACTTTAGTGAATGGTATTTTAATATTTGAAATTGGAATTAACCTCATCTCCCATGGCTTCTTTCCCCCTTCATTGACTCTTCTTTTATCTCTACTTTTTAATGATCCCATATACAGCGAAGTATTCAGCACAGGCTTTTCTTCTCTGCCTTCATTTCAGAGCACTCAGCACTAATGGGATTGCCAGCTTTCCCATTTAAAGCCACTGATCCAAAGCTTACAACCCTTCTGAATTTTTCCCCCAAGAAACTGTGAATATATTTTTAAAAAGATCAGACTGATATTGCAATTGTTTGTTTATTCCTCCATTTTTACCCTGAAGATTACTTCACTTTATTTACCTTTATTTGACTGTTACTTCTCCCAGTTCCATGCTGTGCTTCAGTGTTTTCTTTTTTTAATACCACTGTGAGAAAAGAAGAGAATGCTGCTTTATTTCACATTTAAGAGTTTCAATTGTTTTAGTACTCAACATTGACATCAATTAAACAGTGCCTTTTTTCTAACTATAAAATAAAACAAAGATTAATTATAAATTATTCTGTTTTAAAACAATAAACAAAAATATTTAAATTTTTATGACCTTGAAGATCTTGTTTTCTTTTACCACTGTTTGAGTTGCTTCTCACAGTTTTATATCATTAGAATAACTGAATGACAACTGAAGAGTTTTTATTGTTGCATTTACAAAATGTCAGACTAACAAATAGATTATCATGTGTGGGTTTTTTGATATTTCAGTTAAACTACATCAACAGATCCTGTTGAATTCCTGCTTTTTAATTTAAAATACTATTTATAATTTTCGTGAAAATTGCTTCCAAAAATAAATTCAACTGTGTTTTAAGAGGACCAAAACTGTCATGATTGCTTAAGATGAGAAACTATTTTGGAAGCAGAAAAGCCAAGAAAGCAATTTTTAGTTTTCTTGATGCACTGCAGCATTTTCAGAAAGAGATACAGCGATGTGATGTGGGTGAGGCCAACACAGCACACATGCCAATTTTGCAGCATCTGATTTTTTTCCCCCCTGAATCTGTGCTCAAAGACAGAAGTGTGACAGGAGAAGAAATGGTTAGTACCTGAACTGAGTTTATATCATTGAGTCAATTTAATGTGGGTTCTGCATAATTCCATCTCTATAATTCTATCATAATTCTACCCAAAGTTGTGATGAGGATACAAGAAAAACACCTGAGTGCTTCCAGTCTCACATATTATATTTTGTTAGCTTTTGTTAGAATTCATGGCCATATAGCTAGATGTTCACCCACCTTCCGAAAATGTGTTTTAACAACCGTGACATGGAAGCGTGGAAGGGAGAGCCCACAGCTGGATCTGACCATCAAAGGCAGGCAACCTGCTCTGCAGCACACCCCAAGCTTGTCTAAGGGGATTTTGGGGGTAAGGACTCTGCAAACAAGCTGTATGAATAACTTGGGCACCAGCAGACCAAACCCAGCTGCCCAGGGCTGGAGGGACTCTAGTTAATACTTTAACTAGCCCTACAAACCTATGCATTGAATTCCAGTAAAAAAATTAGATTTGAAATGCTATAAAAACTCATAACAAGACGTCTACTAGCAAAAAACCTGAAACATTTAATTGAACTCAGGGACTGAGCTACATTCCACACCTCTAACAAAACTATGGATGGAAATTACCATGGTGGCTGGGTTGGGGACTAACTACTGGATGAAAATAAGTAATATTCTAGAACATCCACCAGTGTGGAACCTTTAGAAGTAGACTAAACTTTACTTCATAATTCCTTAGCAAAAGACTATCTTAACTGAACAGATTTTTTTTTTTTCTTCCATTGCTGAACCTTGATCACCAGATACCCAGAACAATGCTGAAGGCATATGGCCTTCATCACTGGATCACAGACTGAAACATGGGGGTTTCTATTCTACCCCCCCTAAATTCTTCTACCAATCACATTTCTCCTACACTGTCTCTCAGCCTTTCCTGATTTTACTGCCTCCTGCAGTATGGGAAAGAAGGAGGATCTTCCTAGAAGTAGGTGTGGAAACAAATTTATTTGGTCAAATAAATAGCCTTCCAAAATGAGTAAGTATGACAAGATCTAGAGCAAAAGGTTCCTGCTCTAAGCACCTGTGAATGGGAGGCATGTTCCACTTTAAACATGCAATCTCCTAACAATGGCAGTGAAATAGATTTTTTTAACCTCTCCTACTTTGCATTTCTCTGCATTTGTACTGTCAACTGCAGGAAATGTAAGCACACTCTCACATTTAATAGCACATTAATCAACTCAGAATATGTTCACTATTTGTCTTTTAAAATAATTCAGTTTTCATATGAGAAAGTGCTTGCTTTTGTTTCTGACTTTACAGACTTCAGGTAACCTTATTTTTTATGTACAACCATAGATTTAAAAGTATGACAAAGTGGTTTTAGGGGCTAACTGATGAATGTTGTTAATTCATTGATGCAATACGCTGTATCAAAAAATTGACAACATTGTTGTATGGCCTGATTTTCTCCTACTAGAATTAACAAACAGTCCTTTAGTCACTCTCGTGTCTTGTATTTCAGAAGGCATCAGGCCACAGTCAGAGTGGGGGGCTACAGAGCTGTGTCCCACAGCTGGAATCCTCCACTGTACCCTCTCTCCACTCTTCCTCCTATAGCTACCTGATGAATTGCACACTGAAGGAGGCCTTATGGACAGCACACACTAAAAACAACTACCTGACCTCCACTACGTCTCGTTTGCAGCTGCATGTAAGGATTAAAAGATATTTCAGCTTCTATCTCGGCATGTTAACCAGGAATTCAGTAAAAGCCTTCCCAGCTTAAGAGGTCCACTGAAACAGAAGCCATCAGCAACCAGGGTCTGGAGGAAGACCTGTTGAGAAGAAAACTTCTGAAGGATCTGAAATGTTTGGTTTATTTGAGGAGGACTGACTTCAGTGTATCAGCAGACACATGAAGAAACTAGTGACATTTAGTGACCAATGGCACAAATACTGAGTAAAAGGCAGTGTTTTTACTGAGTGTAACAAAGACTGAATTCCTTAATTGTGAAAAAATACATTTACCAAGATGGAAAAAACAATTGTAACACCATCCCTTTCTGAAACCCTAGTAAGCATAGATTATCTCCAGTTTTACAACATGATATTATCAATTTTAAACCACTTTAACTGCTTATAGGGTAACTATTAATAAAATCATAAACAAGAAGCTTATTAAAGCTCAAGATTTTATGACACTCAATTGTCAAATGTTTGTGTAAGAATATTTCTTAGGGAGCTCAAAAGGCAGTAATGGGGATTTGGGGGAGACCACATAAGAAACAGAGTGGCCTCTTACTGACTTGCTGGGGGTGAAGCCAAGTAGTGAAGTGAAAAGAGACCGTATCATTTTCTAGAGTTAAGGTTTAGCCTGTGTTTCAAAACAGAGAAGTCACTGACTACCCAGCAGCTGCAGGAGCATTACATTTATCTACACACATAAATCATATTTGCAAAAAATGAATGTTGGTTGATAAATTATGGGGATCTGGAATATGTAGGGGTGCTGGCATATATGAAAAGGAAGAGATCAAAATCATATCCCTGTTTTGTGGCAAAATTCAATACTTTAAAATATAAAAGGCACTGGGTCTCTGAAAAGCATAGTTAGGGATGTGTATTTATGCATCTATATTGACAATACGTACATATCTACATGGATGTATGTATATGAAATCATGTGAAACCAAAATGTAGTTTTACAAAAAGCATTTCATTAGTCCATGACAATAATCAATTACAGGATCAGTAAAAATGTCATTAAAAGGACAGATAACAAGATAACAAGATTGTCCTACATTGCAGAAGTCCCACAACACTTTTTAAAAAGGTACAAAGTACAACCAAGTACTAACAGATACTCTGATGAGGACCACATCTGGCCTTTTGAGGTTTTGATTTTTTTTAAGAATAAGCATCCTACATAACAATAAAGTAACGTACACCTCTTCATATAATTGTTGATATTTACAATGTACTCATGTGTGGCCATGTAATCTCTCACATGGTTAGGTGTTAGCAGCATAATTTGTGCACATATTTCACAATTACATTGAACCAACATTGTTGCATCCATCACTGGGTATTCTAATACATTTACTGAGCAGAGAGTCCATAAACATTTACAGAACATTCTTGATTAACAAACTTCAAAACCAAAAAAATTAGTCCATTTAATTTCAGTAAGAGCCAATGCTTCATTTCAGCAATAACAGTGCAGCTAGCATGAACTGTTACTACCTCATAAATTTTGTCTTTAACTGCAGCTTGTGCCCCCAGAGAGACACATTCATTTGCTAAAAATCAAACATAGTTTACTGAATGACTGGTCTGATGTAATATAAAATAAACCCACTCTAACAACTAATTTGTACATAGTTACTGTACACAGGAAAAGCTCTGGATAGTGACAGAACAAAGCTGATGAAAGAGTTTTTATAAAGACCTCTGCTTTCCTTTCATAAGTAACCATATGCTGATGCACATACAAAATAAGAGGCCCAGTATGGTGTGTTACAAAATCAATCACGTGGCCTTAGAGAACATATTTTTGCATTAGTACACTGCTAATCTTTCACTGACAAAATTTTCCCCTGTGGACACTGGGGCTAAAAAAATGTTAATCACTTGTACTGTGATTGTTGACATGGAGGATTTATCTGTCTGTAGGAGAGCATCCTGATGGTATGATAACTTAACACATTATGCAAACAATTTCACTGAGAGCAATGGTACATTCACGATGACTTATACAATCCCTGAAATGTGCAACTGGCTAATGTCACCACTGCAATGTCCTGCTAAAGTGTACAGTAGATTTAACTTGAAAATTGTCTCAAACTAATATTCCAGAGTATCTCACTCAGAATTTTGATAGAAAGGCTAGAACTGAATTTGAACTTTGTGTACATATCTTTCTTATTCCTTCATAAACATTTTTTTTAGTACTTCCACACCTCATGACTCCTGCTGCTGTTAACTTTGTTTTCTCAGGACCTTTTCTGAAGCTTCTTGTTTGTTCCCACCACAGGGAGGTCACCAGCTCCATTCCAAAAGCCTTCTGCTGAAGGCAGTCCCTTGCTTACCCACTCAGTCGGTCAGTGCTGCAGGGCTCCTGCCAGTCTAACACAGACATCAGGAAGGCATAGGCAGCTCAGCTTCGGCACCAAAAGCCCTCTCTAATCTCAGCCAATGCTCAGTCTTAGCTTGTAACTAGGCCAGTACAAGCCAGTCCCAACAGCCACAGCCACCAGGGGTGTTGACTTCAGCAACATCTGTAGCACATGTGGTTTTGCTGGACCAAAAGGGAGTGCCTGAAGATAACTCATATTTCCAAGCACCTGATGTTGACTAGTACTTGTAAAGCTACTTAATGACAAAGAATTCAAAGTGCTTTTAAAGGATGCCAGTTCTCTTACTATATATAGGTAAATGTTATGGGAACTTTTGGAGCAAGCTGTAGTGCAACAAAGGAGATTGCAAAAAAGATTTTCCTTGTGTTGTAGACAGACTGTGTCCATTATGCCATACAGTCAGTTCTGATTTGTACCCTTGGCACTGTTGAATTAAAATTTCGTTATTTCCTTCAGAGGTACTGGGAACTGGAGAATTTCAGAGGTGTCACCATTTTTGAAAAGGATGGTGACTTGCAGGATGGAACTGATATTGGGACTGGCTCCTTCATGTACAAAATACAATATCTATTTCTTCCACTATAAGCTCTTCCACTATGAGCCCTTCTTAAGTCTCCACAAGAGTTACCCTTAAAGTAGAAATTTTCTCAGTATTATGTCCTGCTATAATGTGTGTGTTCACTTGGAGTATTATGAATCTCCCTAACCACTTAGTATTGGGGATGACAGCATTTACCCTTTAGATAGTCCTTGTTTCATCTCAACAGTTGATGGTAAAGCCTCAAAACAGAGGTAGCACAGGCTGCAGTGCTTGGAACACTGAAAACTAAATAAACAATACACTAGCAAAGAACTATAGTAAGAAACAGTTCTGTTCTACAGAGAGACTGAATGACCTAACCTGATGACTGGATGATCATCCCAGTCTAATTTCTAGTATATAGTTTACTCCACCTATTCTCGGGCTGAAAGAAAGGACATAAGACACCAAACATAATAATTGTAATGCAATTCTACTGCATAGTCAAAAACAACCTGTGTTGCTCCTAGCAGCCACTGACATTTTTATCCCAAGCATACTACTTTCATGCAAAATTTAACTTTTCAGCAGATTTTTTTAACCACTAGACACAACAGCAATAGCTTTGAAAATACATTATTTGTTAGGTTACATCAATATCTATATATCTCTTTATTTCTTATACCAGAACAACTATGGCAGTCTGGTATTGCCCTGCCAGTATAGTTTTTCTTCCACTTTTTTCTTTTTCCACTGGCAGAAAAGCAGCATCTTAAAAGTCTTCCTGAAAGTTTTATTACAGAGGGCATAACACATGGGGTTAACAGTACTGTTCACATAGCAGAGCCAATATCCAAGGTGCCACAGTGTCAGGGGGATGCAGTCAGAGCAAAATGTGGAGATCAAAACCATGATATTATAGGGAGTCCAAGTGATGATAAAAGCCAAAAGAATGGCACTTAAAGTCTGCGCCGCTTTGCGCTCCTTTATAAGAACCATGCGTTTCCTTTTGGTGATTTGGTTATTTATATTTGGATCCATGCTTTTGATGGAAGGGTCCTTTGACAGAGCAGCAGAACAAGGAGTTATTTTTACTTTTCGGCAACCATTGTTGGCTTCCTGAGTGCCATCAGCCTTAACCACCAAACGGAATTTATAGGCTACACATTTTTTACTTTTTTGTACGTGTTCTTTGGTAGGCGACAAAAAGTATTTCTGGTTCTCAAAATCACTTTCTTCAGGTTGGTCTTTGACAACAACATCTGTAGTCTCACTATACTCTTCTGCCTTACTTTTAGACGGACTTTTGTAAGTTACTTGGAAAACTGGGTCAGTGGCAAGTTTATCCTCGTCTTCGGAGGAGGCGTAGCTGCTGCAGGTGGTTAACTGGTCAGCCTTGGCCCAGTCCATGCAAGTACTCGCTGCCTGGGAGGCCTTCGCCGTAGCTGACGTACTTCGGCTAGATGAGGACCACGAAGCCTGACACCCCTCTCTTTTGACTAAGTTTTGTTGCTTGCAACTGAAGCAAGACTTCAGGAGAGTTTTCTGAGGCTTTATTGTCTCATACTCTGCCACAGACTCTGAGCCCTGCAGTTCAGCGAGGTCCTTGGTGCGTTTCTCGGTCTCTTTGTAAATGCGGCAGTACAGAATGGTCATCACAGACACAGGAATGTAAAAAGCAGCAATTGCAGTCCCAAAGGTAATAATGGGCTCATACAGAAACTGTATCTGGCACTCTTCAGGTGGTACTGTTCGTTCACCCACAAAATACTGCCAGCACAAGATTACAGGTGCCCATAACATGAAGGAAATCAGCCAAGCCATACCAATCATGATGCCAGCTCTTTTGGGTGTGCGTTTGGCCCTGTAAGTTAAAGGCCTTGTGATGGAAAAATATCTGTCAAAACTGATGACTAGGAGGTTCATTACTGAGGCATTGCTAGCTACATAGTCCAGTGCCAGCCATAGGTCACAGGCAAGGCTTCCAAGAGTCCAGTGGCCTATGAGTATATAGGATGTATAAAGGTTCATAGAAAATATCCCAATGATGAGATCTGCACAGGCAAGGCTGAGCAAGTAATAATTGTTGACAGTTTTGAGCTGACTGTTGACCTTAAAGGATATCATTACAAGAATATTTCCCACTATGGTTATTAAGCTTACAATGGCAGTTACAGTGGCAATAGTAATGACTTCCCAGAGGCTATGCCCTTCTAACTGCTTATGGTTGACGGATGAACTGTTTACAACAGTAGAATTGCTGAATAAACTGACTTCCATTCTTGTCCTTGGTGTGTTGTCATCGGGACCTTAGCACTGTTGCATACTGCTTTCTGTACTCAGAAGCATCCTTTTGGAGACAGCTATAAAGATCAAAGGAAAAAAAAATCAGAAAATTTAAGTAGCTCAATAGCACACATTTTCATAAGTTACTATGAAAACACTTGTGAAACAACTTATCACATTATTTGTGTTCTATTTTCACATTTCGATTGTTATTTCTACAATTGTGAACATAACTAAAACACACAAATGTACATCCTCGGACAATGTGCTCTGGCATTTTATGACATTTCAAAATGCAATCCAACTATTATTTCATAAGACAGTCAACCACCTCAGCTCTAACATATTGAGTATCTTAGGAACCCTCTACATATTCTCAAACACAGACATTTAAGGTTTTGTAGTAGGACAGTGAGTCACTGTGTTGTTTCCTACAGTATTTAAAATGCATGCCAAGGTTTCAGGAATTATCTTTGAAAAATTGTAAAAGTCACCAACAACAGAAAAAGAGTAAGCGAATACTGAGGGTGCATGGGAGTTAGGAGCCACACTGGCATGGTGACAGC